GGGATACAAAACTTTTTTAGAACACCGGTAGACGGCAGCCATTACAGACGAACATGTGTTTGTTGTTGTTCCAGCAGTGGCCCGGTCACACTAATGTCATTAGTTTGTTATCATTACTAAGGTGCAGGACTGCTTTTCCCCCTTTTTTTCACATCACGTCGCCTGCTTGGATCTGTTACTATCTCTCTCTGAAGCACGGAGGAGTGTCAGAGGTGAGCTCGTTTCAACTGCTTTTTACAACGCAGTCTCATTTCCGGACTCAATAATTTTGCCGATATTTCAGTTAAAATACATAAGTAAAAATATTTATCTGAGTATAATACTACCCCCCAACTTTATGAATGATTTTATGGATTAAATTTTACGCATTTTACTTGAATAAATATGGTACCTTTTAAAGAACCTGAAGACTACATATGATTAAGATTTAGGAAAAAATTATGCCTGAATAGTTCAATTGTACTAGTTTTTATGAAATTCTGTGTAAATTATATACAGTATTTTCTTGTTTAAATGAATATGGTGTTTTTGTTTGTCCTGATGTGTAATAATAATAATAATAATAATAATAAAGTTCACAATATATTTCTTAATTTTATAATTTTGCCTCCACTGGCCGTGAAGATTCCCGAAAAGGCCCACTGACCACCAGTTGATAATCACAGTCGTAGCTTGTTTTGCGGCTCTGGACACATTTGATTAGTGAGCCGAGTAGCAGAAACGTCTCTTTTTCGTAAAGGTTACCGACCCCTGTTATAGACAGTCCAACAAATATTACATTGCACCACCTTAATGTTCTTCGTCACAAACCAAATCAGAATAGTTTAATGTAAAAGTTGTTTCTTACTCTAGAAGGTCGTGTGCCACATCTTGCTGACTCCCAGCAATGTCAGCCAGCAGTGCTGCTGAGTCAGAGTACAGCCAGAACAGGGAACAATGACAGTGACTCAGCTCAAAGTGCATTAAGCTTCAGTGGATACGTGCTGTTACCTAAATAGCACTTTTAATTTAAGACTTTAATCTAAATTTTTGCTGTTTGCCAGGTCTGTGGGGAAGCCTGCAGAATCCCAGCGTTCTGAAACTCAGTCCTGATGTTAGGGGAGAGAAATGTCTTTGGCTTCTGTGTCTGACCTTCATATGAAGTCAGACCTGTGGGGGGACGTGCGGCAGAGAGGAGTGCTGCCTCCTCCTCTATATTTGAACTGGCTGAATGAGGTGCCTTGATGTGCTGCTTAATCGTTCCAAACTCCATTAGAACTTCCCCTGAAATAGAACAGCGTGCTCAATCATTCCTGACAGTGAAGATGTAAATTATGTATTCTGCTTTTTCYTTTCTTGATGATTAATGTCTTTCTTCTAAATTTATCCTCTCCAATTTTCACTCAGTGGCATGAATATTTATCAATACCTCATTTTCTGTATGTCTTTTGACTTCCTCCTTCTTTCCTCGTCTGCTTTTTCTGTTTAAAATCCAGATTGCTTTTATTTTTCCAGCACTTTCCTCAATTTTAGTTTTTTTTTAATTTGCAGATCTCCACCTGGCAGCAGAGCTGGGGAAGACGCTTTTGGAGAGGAACAAAGAGCTGGAGGATTCTCTGCAGCAGATGTACATCACTAATGAGGAGCAGGTGCATGAGATCGAGGTACAAACACTGAGGCTTGCCAAATCCTATCAAGACATGGATGATTTTATTTAGATTACAGCAAACAGGAAAATATGTTGATGTAAAGTTCACAAGAAACATCTAGCAGAATGCTCTTATTTTGACACACATATTTATGCAAATGCTGCCAACTGTTTTCAGTAGAACAGCTCAGGGGTTGGATTTATAAAACTGGCGTACACACAATATGAGCCCAGAAACTTGCGTACGCCTTTTTGTACGCCAAGGTTGTGATTTATAAAATCCAAACTTGACGTGAAAATGTGCGGTGCCTCACGCCAGCTCTGACCCATGCGTACGCTCATTTTGGAGACGTGAAACTGCGACACAGATGGTGAAGTGAAGAATTAGAGCCACACTGCGTCATGATCACTGTCAGATATTTAATTTCTCTTCATAATTGGACTTAGACTTTTATTCAACTTTATCATCAGCTTTCTAAATAGTAATATTTATGTATGCTTCTGCTGCTGCTGAG